GGCATTCTTGTAGATATCTCTGTGACATGAAGCTGCAGCCCCGCCCAGACCACTGAGCACCTTCTGCAGGCTGAGGAGGATCTCTCCTCTGCCTTGAGACTAGATCAACAAAGTAAAGATGAAAATAAGAGTATTAAAATAGATGTCACACCAGTTTCTGAATAATAAATCTCTTGTTATCCTTTACTCTTCCTATATCAGTTCAATTTCCCAATTTTGCACAAGTCTTACCTCTGCACTCTTTAATGCCTTCAAAAGATTATTAATTGTGTCCGGAAAGGAGCTTCCCAGCATCCTGCCCATCTTCTCATAAAAAGCTCCAACACATGCCACTGCAGCACTGTAAGAAAAGTTACTGTATGCTTTAAAACAATTACAGATCACTTCAAATTATTTGATAAAAAATGCAATGAAATAACCAAATGAGAACTCAAAATCAACCATCTGCATCATGAGTTAGATTTAACGTCAAAGCTTCAAACACATTATCATCTATACTAAAACACTGTGTCTTAGGGTTTAGCAAAGAGGTACTGACACCTGTATGTACCCCATATTGCCTCACAGTCTACCTCTGTCTGTGTAGAAACAAGCAGGTATAAATGAATGATGGATAAAACCCTGCAGGACAACACTTATGCTGCTTCAGCCAATGAAAAACAGCATAATATCTGCTCATGTACACTTAATCCCCCCCTTTAAATATGAAATGTCATTCTGCAGATTAACCTTTGGTTTAACCCTGATAACCTTGAAGGTGGGCCTACAGTGTATGCCTGTAACTCTGAAAGCAGTGGTGATCAGCTTATATATACGCAAATGTGTATAATCTTAAATATACTGAATATTTTAAAAAGCCAATGGAAAAACATACAGCTGTGATTATGGGATCTTACAGTTTTGTTGGCAAGTATGCAGGTGTGTCATCTTTGCTTTTGATGATGTCATTGCATTTGTCCAGAGTCTGGAAAACTGTGAAGGTATCGCCGATGCTGTAAAGGGTGGCAAGATTTTTGGCCAACAGTTTTCTTGTTGGTGGTCCAGGGGCACTGCTGATAAGTCCTGTCAGCTGCTCAACCAGCTTCTTCTGCTTCTCTTTCACATCCACCTGCCAGCCACACACACAAAATAAAGTTACAAACTACTTCCCATGAAACTCACTCAGAAAAACTAAGCTAAAAGTCAGAACAGTCACCTTATTTGCAGCCACAAGCACTTTATCCAAGAAGCGGAGCCACTCAAAGATGAAGACAGGCCTCTTTGCTTCAGTGATCTGGGCCAAGGCATCTTCATTGAGCAGCAGACTGTGAGCCAGCTCCATGGCGAAGACCTTTTGACACAGTGCTGTACAACCTCGCCTCTGTAATGTTACATTAGGGGATGTGCCTTGTCAGTACATGTCTCTAATATTCGCCCCTTCCTATGAGATTAGCTATCACCTAGAAAGAATTGTATCAATATTTGAGTTACTAAAGCTCTGTGGACATTTGCCGTCCTTACAATGACTTTATAAGGTTTGTGCAAAGACACAAATAGTTACACAGTTACAGCAGCTGTCAGTGGTTTAAACGTTATTAGCCCCAGACTAATTTGTCTTTTAAAATGTCACAAACTGAAACGTTAAAGCTGGGTAGCGTTAACACCTTGCTGTTCTGTGTTGACAGCTGCCTCCTTCCAGCTGTTGATAGGCGAGCGAGTTAGCAAACTAAGCTAGCTAGTTCCTACGAGGAACAAGCTAAACTCCGGCTACACACTCTCATCCAGACTGAACGTCAGCCATCTATCATCATATTTTAAAACATTCAAATGTTCAAAACCACCTCCACAACAACACCTTCCTGAATTACGGGATATATGTAGCCAAACTGTTCATCCTACCTGTGTCTCGATAACCCAGGATGAATGACGACGAGTATCGGCGGTGTCGCATTAAAGTCATTCCGATGTGAAACCAATTAAATAATACGCAGAAAATGCAGCTTTAATATAACAAACAAAAACTGTGCCACATTATGGGTAACATTTTTTTCTACTTGTCTATGTGCACTCAAATTACATACTTTCTTCTGAATTACTTCCCGGAACTTCAGGCTTTATGTGTACCTTGTAGCTACACGGAATGTATCTTTGAACGAACCAAACATAAGAGAAGCAAATAAAACGGCTCGACCGGATAGTTAAGTATTAGCTGCAGGTGTTTTCTATACTTTCACCTCTTTTGACGCGTCCATAATGTCTGATGAGGAAGAGGACTATATGTCTGATGCTTTTCTCAGTAAAATGTAAGTGTTTAATGTTTCTACAGTTCTGTATTAAAACCCGGGGATGTCGAAATTGTGATGGAGTGTATAGTCCTGTGGTGTCAGCTATGAAAATATAAGAGTAGAAGTTTACTTTCAGAATAGGTATCACTGTATTCTTATCCCAGTTACTCTCCCAATGTTCCTCTGTCTGTCAGACAAGACGTGAAACCAGGAGTCAGCATGGTGAGGCGGGTAAAAGCAGCAATGAAGAGGGAGACGCAGGCAAAGGAGAAGAACATTAAAAACCGACAGAAAACCTACAAGGAGCAAGAGACGGAAAGTCGAGAAGCAGCTTTACAGAGCTCAATCAGCAATGAGAACAAGGGATTTGCACTTCTGCAGAAAATGGGCTACAAAGCTGGCCAAGGACTCGGGAAGAAGGGCAAGTTTCTGGCTTACTGATGTGTCTTATTTTTCATGTTTTGCATTACTTGCGTTTATTAATGTTAATCTGTGCTACCTCTTCAGGAGCTGGGAGGGTGGATCCCATTCCTCTAAACATCAAAACTGGTGGGAAATATATTTGCTTTTTTTATTTAAAGTGTTTGGTAAGAACATGCAATCCAACCAATGGCTTACCATGTACTTTTCTGTGTATGCTGAATCAGACAGAGGTGGCATTGGAATGGAAGAGGTGAAGAAAAGAAAGGCAGAGGAGGAACTTGAACACTATCGACAGAAAGTACGAGTCAAACAACAGAATGAGACCCAATCTCTGGAAGACTTTAGGTGAAGTTTGCAACTGTCTGTGAGATGCACTGTACCAAATGTTTCATAGTCGGTGTGTGTAATCTTCAGGTTTTTTTTTTAATTCCAGGTCAAGAGTAAGGACAGAGAGAGAGGAGCGTAAGATTGAAGGAGATCTCAGAAGGAGTCAGCGAGCCTGTGAGCAGCTTGACAGTCAGAAGGTTCGAAGGATTTTGACATAGCACAGGCTCATCAGGACATCACAGTGCTCTGCAATGGGAATTAACAAAAACATGCCAGGAAAATTACCATAGATTAATACAGAAGCAATATCACAGAAGAGAGATCAAGATCTTGGTTTTCTCTTTATATTTCAGGGCATCACTGTCCCCAGAGAAGACTGGTACTGGCCAAAAGAAGATGCTGATGATGAAGAAGCTAGTCACGAGGAGGATGAGGAGGAGGAAGAAGAAGAAGAAGAAAAGGAGATTGTGGAATTAACCGTGAGTATTAAGTTTTGTTTGTCTTTAATGATTTATTGTATCTTTTTATCGTGTTTTCATATTGGCAAGTATAGGAAATAAGTATATCATCTTATAATATCTAATTTCATTTACATTTTGTGTAATATGAATTTTAAATTTTTTTTAAAAGGGGGGGGGGGGGGGGTTGTGTATAATAGCAGATTCTGCCAGTATAGAATATGCAGTATACTGGCATATCATGCAAGAAATTCATCTAGTAGATGAATGTGATGATTAATCCAGTATAATATGTTCCTCTCTGTTACAGTCCTTTGATAAACTGCAAATTTTGACATCGTATTTGAGAGGAATCCATTTTTACTGCATATGGTGTGGGACCACCTATAATGGTAAGAGTGACAACAACATGGCCATAGTTTTATTGTTGTTTTATTGCCTTTGCTGGTATATTTTGTATAATTTTGCATTTAGTTTTGTTTTTTGGTTGTTTTTTTTTGTTTGTTTTTTTACAGATGAAGAGGACCTATGCTCTAACTGTCCCGGGGATACAGCAGCAGATCATGACTGAACTTGATAAAAACATATGTAGTACCAACTAGTGAAAATGCAGTTACAAATGTGCAGACAGCATTTTACAACATGAAACAGGCTCATTATACTATAAAAAGCAGCAAAGGCAATAAAGTGATCAGAATTGGAGGAAGATTGATTAATCATCCCATTTGAATCTGCTGTCTATCTCTGGAAGAACATCACTGTGTATGCTTTTTGTGGGTGTGTTGTCTTCATTTTATTCATTAAGAAATCCTGTGGGAAATTCATGATACCTTTTTAGTATTTATATTTCTAAAAGCTGTGTTTTCATTAAATGTTTTAAGACTTCTACCTTGTTACCTTTATGTAATGTTTTATTTTAGCAACTTATTATACAGTAAAACACACTGGGTTTGAATTACTAACCAAATACAAGATGCCATTATACGTTTTAACTCCAACATAGTTGTGAGTCTTACAATTATTACAAATGTCAATATCCTCTGGTGTCATCACTGGATTTCAGTAACATTGTTCATAGCAGAAAATGAGAATATCTTGTATATGATAAATGCACTGTACCAGTAAATGCACTATGGCTGCCTTTTAGTTAGTTTGAAAGTTTCTTCGTCAAACATTAGATAGCACTTAAATTAGTTTGTTTCTTTCATTTGCGTCTCTGAAGTGCTAAAACATGAAACAAGCGTTTTGTATTATTAACTACACCTCCCATGAGTCTTACTGGTAGGCGCAATAATTAAGCTTTCTGGGAAATGTAGTTGTTGAATACCATCAAAATAAGCGTATTGACAAGGTGAACAGGTAGGCGCATATTTTATTCAACCTACAGACATTTCAAGCAGCCAGACATACATTTGAATAAGACGTTAGTTAAACGTTATTTAAAATATAAATCAAAAATAATTATTGACAGAATTAGTTGCTTGCCAAATTGCTATATAGTGAGTTAATGGCTACTAGCCAGAAGCTAACGTTATACTAACACGTCTCCATTTCCTTACGACACACATTTTAGTGTTATGTTGTAGTGTTATATTTTATCTATGGCGGCGGCATTCACGTTTGCTGAACCAGTTTGGATATTTCAGACATCATTTGAAGGCACCATGTTTTGTGACGTTTACCCTGAAAACGAAACTTAACTGCTGGCGTAGACTTCATCTACAGTGGGCCCAGCCTTACGAAAACATGGAGGTAGAGTGAGACGAAAGCGGAAAAGATGTACTATTCTGACATTTCCATACATTATGTAATTTGAGTTTGTCTGTTCATAATGGCAACGGAAAACTGCGTAGCCAAACTAAACGAGTTTGCACAGAGAAAACGCTCGCTGCTGATTTTTGAGGACGTTGGAGCTGTTGGCCCTGATCACATTAAAACGTGAGTTTAATCAATTGTCTGCTGGGATTCACGACCTGCAAATTCATGTATGAACGGCACAAACCTATTATTTCAATTCAGTTCAATCTTTATTAAGGACACAGCTCATGGGGGGTCTATAGAAAAGATCGGCAGGGGCTTGAATAGAACAGACCCCTGTTGAATAAATGGATAGCATCTTAACATTTCGATGCACAATGTCACGCACATACTGACATATGTGTGCATATATATGTGATTATCATATCATAGGTGTTTTCTATATGTTGCTTTCAGGTAATTCATTTTACCCAGATACAGTATGTTTATACTTTCTCAGTGTGTTCCCACGAACCTGTTACCACATTTAAAGCACTCATGCAGTTGATGTCACACCAAGTTACATTATATTTCATCAAAATTGCACTGAGACCATAGTTATTGTTTTCTGCACATTGAAAATCTCTGTGGAATAAAAAGCAATAGGAAAAAGTTGAGGAATAGGGTTTGAGTGTAACACCACTTCAAAAACAGGCTGTAATAGATGCAAGGGTTGTGAGCCTCAGTATTTTTTGAGTATTGACTGAACTTAAATATTAAAAAAGGGCTCAGGCATTGTATTGACACCAGTAGTTAAAATGTTCAGACGGTAACCAGGTCCTTTGCTGAATGGAAATGCATTCAATAGTAATACACACATGTATTGTTCACATAAAATTAAAAAATGACTTCATACCAGCATTGCTGCCTCTCTGGTTTCCCAATGAGAGCCTAAGGGAGACGAGAACTATGTAAAGTTTATAACTTTACCTTTGGACATATGAACTAAGTGTGCAGCTTTATGTCTTTGTAATGTATCCTCCATCACACTACGTTCTAGCATCATATAACATCTTATAATTTCTCCACAGATTCACCGTGAGAGCAGTCTTGAATGGGAAGGTGTATCCTGATGGCGTGGGGAAGAACAAGAAGGAAGCCAAACAGAACGCAGCTAAAAATGCCCTCAGAGGCCTGCTGGAGGAACCATCTGACTGTGTAAGATTAATGTACCGCTTTATTTATCTGCTGCATGTGTCAATTTTTGTATTCTACAGTATAGAAGACAAACTCACATCACATGTCTCCTTGATACGTTTGTTGTTTTCTCGACAGACAGAAAATGCAGCAGAAACGGCCACTTCAACAGTTCTTCAGACGAGTATCAGTAACACCAACTATATATGTTGGCTCAATGAATATGGTCAGAAGAACAGGCTGACTATAAGGGCTGTGGAGTCAACCAGACTGGGACCCAGTAATGCTATTCAGTAAGCATCCAAACTACATCCAAATTCTTAGGCATTTTGTTACCATTTAAAGATGCATTAAATAAAAGTTTTTTGTCATATTAGATGTTGCAGCTTTGTGGTTGGTGATAAGGAGTACCCAGCTGTCTCTGGAAATACAAAGAGGGAAGCCAAGGAGGAAGCAGCAAAGCTTGTATTTGATGTGATACATGGCAGTAAAACTACAGAGGTAAGTTGTAATACATGCTAGTTTCTCCCACCCTCATCAAAGCACTGGAAAAGCTCAGATAATTGTAATAATTGTTCCAGTAGATTTTTCCAATGTTGGCCACACTCCAATCACTGAATCATAATAAAACCATATTTTTTTGTTTTGAAGACTGAAGATGAGAAATGCAGTGCCACGTCAAGTCAGCAAAGGGAGGATTTGAAACAAAATGTGTCAGAAATCTGGTGAGAACAAACAGTGGCAATGTATGATTTCATTTTGTTTGGTTCTTACAATTTTTAATTAATGTCTGATTTGTCTTGGTATTACAGTGATAAGACAAAAGGCTTGAGTGTAAAGACAGAAGGTGGAAGCTTTTCAGAGACTAATTTCATTGGAATTGTGAACCACTACTGTCAGAAAACAAAGCGCTCCCATGATTACATCTTAGACAGAAGATGTGGTCCACCACATAGCCCCCAGTGAGTATGACTGTACACTGTATGAAAACCCCTTGATAGATGTGAGAGAGAAATCTTAACAAAATGGTGTAAACATTTCCTCTCTGCCTGCACAGATTTTTCTACAAATTAGTGATCAACGACAAGGAATACCCTTTGGCTGAGGGTAAGAGTATCAAGGAAGCCAGACAAAATGCAGCTCAGCTGGCCTGGTCTGCTCTTCAAGAACAGTCCGACTGGGACAGCAAGGTATTTGATATTTTTTGTTGTTTTTGGTATGATGAATTATGGTTTTTAATATGCCACCTAGTATGTTTCTTTGTGTCATGTTTCTCCAGAGGCTTTTACCTACTTTTACCATCGGTTTTCTGCTCCACAAAACCATAGCAACATATAAAACATGCAAGTCCAGTGTTTTTCTGTTTTCTATTATCTAACCCTTCCACCAAATTCAAAAATTTTTACAATATGTGTCACATACGTCAGCATGATTGTTGTGGTCTGGTGAAACGTTTAAAGCTGTGTGACCATTTAAATCACTTACCTATGCTGTCTGTTGTAACTGTCATTTGCAAACTACATGTACCATAGTTTCACAATGCAGGTGTTTATCATAATCTCTCTGAGGTACCGTAAGGATGAGCCAAGGGTGCAGCAGGATTTGTATACTTCCATTCTTTTATTGTGAATTTTTAAGAAGCGTCCCCAACAGAAGCTGAGATGAGCTGGCCATGAAAAAATTCTTTATGAATGGGTGCTGTGGATTTATTTTTAGTATTGGAACTACTGCTTTGTATAAAAGAATTCAATGTTACCGTGTGATGAAAGAAATAATGACCAACACATAAAAATAAAAAAAAACTTTTAAAGAGGCGGTTCCTAGATTCAGTCATGCAGTGAGGTTCTTTAAGATATCTGTGGTTTGACTTCATAAAAAAATAAAGATTGTTCATAATATCCCATTAATGCTACACCACTGTTGCACCTCATTCCCGGGAGCATCAATTACTATAAAACATGGCACTGTGTAACAGCTGAACACTTCCTTTCTGCTTTCAGATAACTTTCTGGTCAGCTGTGTCTGATGACGGTGGACCAGCCAGGCCGCCCACACTACCAAGCACACCGTAAGGCACTGCCTGAAGAGTACAACACATGGTAACGTTTAATGTAGAGAATATTCTACTAATGTGTCTTACTGTATTCTCCAAGGGAGTCTCGTGATGCACAATCAAAAGGCATACCGCCAACTACAAGTGACTCAGCTGTTTTCACCAGTCCATTGAATCTTCTCAAGGATAAGGTCTGTTATTCCTTTTGTAATCCTCTAATCCCCTCCTGGTTGGTCAGTGTGTAATGCTCAGGTTAGTGCAGAAGTCATTGTATATCAAGTTGCTTTAATTCACTCTTAAAGTCAAATCAGTTTTACTTATCTGGCCTTGTTTATTCCAATGCCATAAATTGATTAATAGATTACCAGAAAAAAGTAACCCTCAGTAACTTGAGGATTATACATGTATTGGATGAGAGACAAAAAGACCTAGAGTGTATCAGTAATGTCAGCCAAGTTACTCTAGTTCTCTGCGCACCTCTAAAACAAATCACTTTTTTTGCATTGCACTCTGAGCTTTTTAAATCATTGAGGAGGACTGTGTGCCTCATATAATGGATTCTGAAAGCACGTATGCTTAAATACTGTATAACTGACTCTATCAGGATCAAAGGAAGGATCAAAGTCCTGATGTGAAGCCCAAAATAAGGTAAGCCATCCACCGTAAAGCTGCAGTATACATTTTACCTGATGTTATTGCTCATTATAATCGTTGTTGTCTTGTTAGACTCGCAGCAAATTTCCTAAATGCCCGCAAACACAGCAAAGAGGTAAAGTAAGAAGATCCTAATGATGCCAGTTCATTTTGTTGGTTTTTGTTTGTCCTTTTAATCTCTATCTCATGACTTTATTTTATTCATTAAGGAAATAGTCAATTTCAGTGGCCAGAATGCAGGAAATAGTCTGAGTGAGAAAACAACCACCCAGTCAGTAATCTCAAGGTATGGAAAATGTTTTCAATGCTTTTGTTGCTTTTAGTTTGTGTGTTGTCTATATACAGTCAGAAAGGCATTATTATATTTTCAACTTCTTGCCCCAACAACACTTTATCTTTATCTCAGATTTACATCAGAATTTGACTCCATAGAGCGCCTCGGCAAAGGAGCCTTTGGTCGTGTTTTCAAGGCAAAACAAAAACTGCTGGGGAAGTTTTATGCTGTAAAGATTGTCCGCTGCAAAGAGTAAGTCCAGTATTTATCTTTTTTGATGAGCATTCCATAGTGTTTTTATGAAAAAATAATTTCAAATGCGGTGCAATATAAGTATAAAGTATTATTAAGTGAGCCAAGTTCTTGTTTTTCATTGGATCAGAAAAGCTCTACGAGAGGTGGGAGCATTATCTGACCTCCATCACTGCAATATTGTTCGATACTTCACATGTTGGATGGAAGAGTCAGAGTACCAATGGGACGATACAGCTGACAGTAGCAGTACTTCACAGTAAGTCTCTTTTCTCTACTGTGCTCTGTTTTTCTGTTTACTTTACTGGAGGTACATCATTCTTATTTTCTTTTCTAGGTCAACCAGTAATTCATCTGCAAAGTTCCTCTATATTCAGATGGAGTTGTGTGACCTCAGAACACTCAGAGTGTGGATAGATGAGAGGAACATTCAGAATGTGAAAAAATCTCGGCGAGACTCCAAAAGAAGAGAAGACAGTCTGACCATTGCTCAGCAAATAGTCTGTGGAGTCGACTACATTCACTCCCGGATGTTAATCCATAGAGACCTGAAGGTGAGAGGAAGTGGATAAAATCATAATTTATTACTTTAATTACATTATTGTTTAGCGTTATGGTGTAATGTTTATTTGAGTGGACCCCAGGAAGAGTAGTAGTAGTTGCTACCTTGGTAGTGGCTAATGGGGATCCAAATGAATAAATGAATAAATATGTCTTTCCTCTGGTTAGCCTGCCAACATCATGTTTGGGCGAGGTGGAGAAGTGAAGATTGGAGACTTTGGTCTGGTCACTGCAGAGAATGATGACGATGCTGAGAACGTGATGGAGAGAACAGTGTACAAAGGAACCCCGTCTTACATGGCTCCTGAGCAGGTGAGTCTAAACCGGTGTAAATTTTAGTTTCTTCTGTCCTATCAAATATTGGTTGGTAAGGTACCCCTTCCTGAGCACTCATGGTGATGTACAGCACTGCTTTATTAAGCTGGTTTTTGTTTCAGTCTTCCTGACTGTCAGAGGCCCTGTTCAGACCTGGCATTAAAATTTGTCTCGGGTGATTCAATTGCAAGTGGACAGCTCTAAGTACAGGTGTGAACGCGCCCAAGCTGCATTGAGGACGCATTTGAGATCCCATCACTCAGAACACATTCAGAGATGGTCCGGGCCACATGTCCACAAACTTTTAGCAGTGTGAACGCAAATGTGTCCTGGCCACATTGAAGGACCACCTACTGTACTGACGTCCTCTGCCACAGTTTAGTCCCGTCAAAGTTTCATAATGAACAGAAAATATTTTTGTGTTTCAAATTGCTAAAACTTTATTTCATTATTAGACCTGTGTACAGCGCATTCATTCGCTCAACCCCTACATGCCCCGCTCTCTGTCTCTCTCACTCACAAGCGCTTTCTCTCACTCTTTCTCACTCACATACACATACATGCAAGCACATTAATAATAGACCCGTCTGTCAATTAGCTAAAAACAGCAACACATAAGTTTTTATTTGCATATAAAGCAGGGAAGTGAAATCCGATCACAAGTGGTCAATCGAGACGCATGTGGAGACGCATTTTAAAGGCAGGTATGAACATATTAACATATTAATACCCGATCTGAAAAGGGCCACAGGTACGCAACCTTGATGAAAAAAGTCACAATCGACTAGATGGTATTTGCGATGAATGTCCCACTTGCCCTGGAATTGAACACCTGTGCCAGGGACTGTCTGATAATGCTTGTACTGACTGCAGCTCAAAGCCACTTTCAAAGAAGACCACTTGGTTGGTTTCATCAGAATAGAAATAACAGTTCTGAGGCAGCTTTTGCACCTTTTGGGGATGCCTTCAATTAGCTCTCCTTCAGGTATTAGATGCCCTAAGGTAACACAAGGTGTTTTCCTGTGTAAAAAAAACAAAAAACAAAAAAACAAAAAAAAACAAAAGAGAGACACATGATGAACTTCTGTCCCTCAAAGTCTACTCTTTTTCCCAGTTTTCCCAGATTACTACTTGCCCACTTCTAGGCGGAGTGTCCAGAGAACTACATCATCTCCATTTATATACAGTTTGTGTTTAACTGTGGACTGATGAATATCTAAGCTCTTTGAGATGACTTTGTTACCCTCTCAACTTTATGCAAATCAACAGTTCTTAATCATAAGTCTTCTGAGATCTCTCATTTGCGAGGCATATTTCATTTCAACCGATGTTTCTTGTAAATAGCCAACTCAAAATGCTTAAGTGTTTTTTTACAAATTAAAGTAGCTCTAACCCACACCTCCAATCTCGTTTGTTTGGTTAGACTCCAAGTTTGATAACTCCTGACTCCAATTAGCTTTTGTTAATGCCATTCGCCGACGGTTTCACATACTTTTTCCAACCTCCACTGTGAATGTTTGAATTACAATTTCAATATGGACAAGAACAGTACAAAGATTTGTGCGTTATTAGTTTAAACAGATTGTGTTTGTTGTGTATCGTAACTTGGATGAAAATCTACCCATTCTGTAAAACAAATTTATACAATTTCTGGCAGTCATGAAGATTGAAACAAAGTGTACTTACAAACTTAACCATGGCTCCATGAATTCTCTTTGATTGCCATAGTTAATGGAAGAAGAGAATGTAAAGGATGCAGGTTTCACTGCACAGATATTGTGTTCTTGTTTTATGACAGAAGAGCAAGACCACCTATGACCGAAAAGTGGACATATTTGCTTTGGGGCTGATATATTTTGAACTTCTCTGGAACCTCTTTACTGGCCATGAGAGGAAAGTGGTGAGTTTTTCCCAGACACAATCCAAAGTTCTGCTGTAAATGTCAATAAATTGCTATGTTAATAATTGTTGTTGTGTCAAACGTTGGTACAACACCAGGCATTTTATCAGATACCAGGGGAGTGTTTATCTTGTTGGTTAATATTATTTATTAAATTGTAAATTTCAAAAGAAAACTACTGGACATCTTATCAGTTTTTGTAAGGCCTATTACATGTTCTTCCTCATTTTTTATCATTTCATAATTACCAGATTTGGGACGATGCCAGAAGCCAGAAACTTCCTCAAGGGTTTTCACACAATTTTCCCAAAGAGGTACATCAATATTTTTTTAATTTACTTGAAACATGAAACAGTATTTCCCGTAGGGTGGAGGTCACTTGTAATTGAACCTAACCGGACAGAACTGAGATTGAGGAGCAGGGATTTACACTATTATTGTCAGTCACCCATCTGTAGAACCTCAAAGGGGAAAAACAGGACTGTTTAATGTTGTATGTCAATCATGTAAAATATCAAGCAGGACTGTTGATAGTTTTGGGGGAAAGGGGTAATCTCAGTTTAAAAGATATGCATTGCTTAGTTGTCCAAATGCAGGAAATACTGTAGATTGGATCTTTACTAAACAACAAAAGCATGTATTGATATTATGAAGATCTCTTATGTAGATTTTGTTTTTGTTTCATTGCAGAACCAAATTATAAAGTCAATGCTGCATGTGAAGCCAGAAGAACGACCTGAAGCAAGTAAACTAAAGTCAGACCTGGAAGAGTACGCTCATGTACTCCACGAGTTAAAAAATATGCAACGAGACAGTAAGACTGTCTGATTGTTACAGGGAGGGTTAGAAACAAACACATCAGTTGTCTCAAGCTTGACTATTTATTTAGTGTTATGTTCCATAATACATAATAATTCATACATTAATTTGTATCCGTCTCTTTTAAGAATTGTGTTTTCATGATTTAATGGGACATTATTAATCATGATTATGGAACACTTGATGGGGAAAGGCACATAAAGTAGTTCATTTTATAATCAGTGAATGAAACAACTTAAATTTGCTCCACATTCAGTTTTAATAAAATCCCATGTCTTGGGTTAGTACTATGACTGATTGGTCAGTTGTCAGTGTGTTTGTGAGCAAGAGCAGGGCAAGGAGGGTCTGAGCAAATCAATGTGCTCTGCACAGCTCTACAATGAAATGAGGTTTTAGCCATTTGAAATAGTAAAAAACAAATGGGCGCCACATAGAAATCAATGTATGGGAAACACAGAAATGTAAAAATATTTTTGTTTCATTATGAAACTATAGCAAGACAAATGAGATGTCATTTGAGCAGGTGGTCCTTCAATGTGGCCCAAGACACATTCAAGTACACACTACTAAAAGAATGTAGCCATTTGCACTCGGATCTCAATGTGTCGGGTTCATTCACACTCACACACAAGCTGTCCACTTGTGATCGGATCACCTAAGACACCTGTTACTGCCATGTGTGAACAGGGCCTTTGTCACAATGTGAGCCATTATGTCCAATCAAAATTCTTGACCAGCCACTTGAGTAAATTATTTTTGTGCCATTCATGTGTACAGGGTGCGTTGTGTCGGGTGTCCACCCAGTTGGGCTACTTTGTATTTGATCAGGCTGGTTTCTCATTAAATATTAAATGACACTGAAGTTTTCCCTTTTTCTTCTCCAATTGTTATGATTGAAACAGTAAATACACCGAGTTCAATAGGCTCGGCATACAGTAACTGAAAACTGACGACCTTTGTTATTTTACTGTTTAACACTATTTATTGGTATAATCGAGTAAGTCCAAAACCATGGTTATTAGTGTTAGGGGCCAATGCCTGCGATGGAAGTGAAACCTGAAAGCAAGGAAGTTGGTGTGCTGCACATTTGTCCGTATTTATATGTGAATTAAACACCAGGACAAAGCTGTGAGCTTTCAGTAAATAGTTGACAACAGACCAGTGACACTTGGAGTAAGAAGACACTGTGGGAGACATTGCTGGAATTCAGGTAGTCTGTGTCCTGTGCTGTGCATGTACTTTACTAAACAGAAAGAAAAAATTGGTCTACTTCCATAACAATTAGGTTTGAGACTCTGATGGGGCCACTTGGCTTGAGTCAAATCTTGTGGGGTGTCAGCAGGAAGTCAGCTCAGCCAAACAAGGACTTGAGTCTTCGATGGGCCCCAGAGCAGGAAACCCAGGTATATTCACATGGTAGGCAGCGTTTAATGAATCAATGATGTGCCATCTTGTTATCCACATTTCTTAACAAAAGCATGAATGGGACATCCCTGTGGTTAATTTTTGCTGCCTGAAGTCAAATGCCAGTGCAACTTTGGCCCAAAGGACAGCACCTTGGTGTGAAAGTGAACCCTCCCTAACATTTGAGATGCCACCTTTTTAAAATGTTTTTCCTTGCCCCAAAGAAATTCTGTACATGCCATAGCAGAAATGGACGACTAACAAAATAATATGTTTTTCAGGCTGTCAGAAGGGGGAGCATATTAATTGCTCCAAAATCAATGTTGTTTTGATACCTTCATAATGCTTAACACCTTTTTCATAACTAATTTAACCAAATGTCATTTCCACTTTTTTTTTTTTTTTTTTTCATTTCCACTTGTTAGACGTTTGAGTTTGACAGTGCAGTTTCCGTGTCCGTGGTTTATGAATAATGAAGGTGTGGTCATGACCGTCATTCAGAGAAATCGAAACTTAAGATTGGTAGAGGCAGCTGAATCGGAAAAAATTGCGCAGTGACGCGGGCTTCGACGCAAGGTTTAGATAGAAACCAGGAAGGGAGGAGTAATGTAAGCTTTTCACTCAGATATGTAATTTTTTATGTAGTTGTGAACTTCGTCATTTCGCCATTTATGATGGAAACGAGAGATTTCGTTTCTGAACTTCACGATCATGCGCGGAGAACACGCTCGTTGCTGAGATTTGACGAGGTTCGCTCTCATGGCCCTGACCATGATAAAACGTAAGTCGGATACAGTTTTGGTACTACCTTCACTAAGCTTTACACATAAACGACGCTTATCCTGCCATAATCGTGCTTCACCTGCTAAGAAGTGAGTGGGTCAGAGGTCTCTGAACTTGGCTTGGTGATACTGCGGGTGGTGATGATTGAATATAACAGGCACAGTAAACGTAGGCTATGAGGAGGAAATAAACAAAAACCATGCAGCTGCACTGTTAAGTTGATATAGCTTTAAAATCGAATTACTTTATACCACAATAGATAAAAAGAGGTTACTGTATGATATATTTAATAGCCAAGCTCACGCACATACCCATCCACTAGATTTTCAGGTTTTCACAATTGCACAAAATAATACTAACCAGCGAAAGTAAGAACGTTTAAGCATAGGCCATAAGTGCCATAAGGCCACATTCGTGACCATGTGTGTTCATAAAGTATAGCAGGAGTAACAGTAAATGCAATGATGATAATGACCCAAAATATTACAAGACCAAAACTAGACAGTTGCTTCAAGTTGATGGAAGAACAGCACAGTCTCCAGGCTTGAACCCCATGGAGCTGGTTCGGGATGACCTGGACAGAAGGTGAATGCAAAGCAACCTGCAAGTGCTACACAATAATCTGTGGGAATTTTTACAACAGTGTTGGGACGAACTTAGTGAACAATATTTGGTTTCCATTGCTGAAAGAACATCTCAAATATGTTCAGCTGCTAGATGAGTCAAAAATTTACATTACATTTAGTTCAACAAGAAGATTCCATGACTCCTTGTTTTTTAAATCTCCATTGTTTGTTTGTTCTGTGTAGTGTGGAAGCCTATAAGGGACTATATTCAAAATAAAAATGCAATAATCTAATTTGCATTTTCATTTTTACTGAAATACCACATACATGCGTGGAAAATTATAATGCTATTTTGGAATTACATTTTCATTTTCAAGTTTATATTATCATTTGAATATAGTCCCTTATAGGCTTCCATACAGTGTATAGCAGAGGAGAAATATAAAGTAATATAGTGTAGCACCACCGCCAACATCACTGCAAGTCAATATCCATGTATAACCAAACCTTTTGACAATTCCTCTTCAGATTTATCATAACAGCAGTCCTGAATGGTAAAGTCTATGGGAATGGCGAAGGGAAGAGTAAGAAGGAAGCCAAAAAGAATGCAGCTGAAATTACCTTGAGATATTTGTTGAAGACACAACAACAGGACCCGGCTGAATCTGTAAGATTATCATCTCTCTTTGCTGAACTACAACATATTGGATTGTCTGTTATCAAGAGTGAAAGGCCAGTTTATAGTGCAAATCTCATTGATGGTTTTGTTGTTTTCTTGACAGACAGAAAATGCTGCTGAAAATACTACTTCATTACTTTATCAGACAAGTATCTCTGATACCGACTACATAGGCCTGCTCTATGACTATGGGGTTAAGAACAAGGTCACTATAGAGTCTACGGAGTCAATAGCAGTGCAATCAAGTATCTGTTTTCTGTAAGTCTCTACATTGCATTGTAAATAATTTATTTCATCTATTTTTGTTTCCATTTTAAGATTAATCAAGTTTTTTATGATATTAGATGTAGGTTCAAGGTTGGTGATAAGGAGTACCCACCTGCATCTGCGAAAACCAAGAAGGAGTCTAAGAAGAAAGCAGCCAAGCTTGTGTGTCTGAGCTTAGGAGTGAAGCCTAAAAACAGAGGGACAAATTTCATTTCATTAGTCATCGAATACTGTCAGAAAACACGCCGAATCTACAATTTTATTGAAGAGAAAAGAAGCGGTCCAGAACTCCCTGAGTAAGTATAATTGAACTTCTGCACCCTGATTATAAGCTACAGGCACACTTCACTGACTTTTGAGTGATATAAGAGTGTACATTATTCAGATCCTTAATTTTCCTTCCTGCCTACACAGATTTTTTTACAAATTAGTGATCAATGGCAAGGATTACCCTGTGGGTAAAGGAAAGACTATCACGGAGGCCAGACAAACTGCAGCTCAGCTGGCCTGGTTTGCTCTTCAGGAACAGTCAGACTGGGATGGCAAGGTACGTCATAGTTTCTGTTCTTTTTTAAATGTTAAAATATGGTTTTTAATATATCACTTAAGTTCATTGTCAACATGCATAATATTAATGTTGTATTCGTTTTTAAACATTAAATACAGTCTTTATATGTCACTGAAGCAGAATGTAGACTGTTAACTATGTTTGTTTGAAACATATTCACTACTGTACCTAATCTTATTTTGAAAGGCCTTCAAGCAGCTCCTTTCTCTTTTCTCTTTTCATAGGATTGAAATTATCTCAACTCATTAATAGTAGCACTTATTTTGTTCATTTTAGGTGTCCTTCAGGTCAACAGTGTCAGAAGATAGTGCAGCAACAATGATGCCATCACCAACAATGACACTGTAAGCACACACTGACACACACAGAGCAGATGGTAGTTTAATACTGTTCTGATCTAACATCTTTCTTTGTAATTCCAAGGGAGTCCACTAACGCATCATCCCAAATCATGGCAAGGAGTACAAGTGAATCAGCAATAGTCACAGATTCATCGAACCCCCCTGAAGCTAAGGTCTCTTCATTTTTATGTTCTTTGTTTTCAGAATAAAACATGGCACTGGCTTTTTGCAGTGAATGATCAGGGATCAGGGTGTATCTACTTTTGCAGTGCTTTTTTCTTTTATGTTCTTGTGCCACCATATTAATAAGAGAAAACTGTATCCATAGTGGTGGCAGCAGATCCTAAGACCAGCTCCTTTTGCATATCTGTGGTTTGACATGAAAAAAAATTAAACTTGTTTTTCTGAAGTGACGTTATTGTCAAGCAGGGCTGCTACAGAGTGAATAATATGCGTTGGAACATGCTACATTCTAAAAGTTGAATTTTACTTTATTTCATTGTTTTGTATTTTAGGTGCCCCTCAGGTCAGCTGTGTCCGTTGACAGTCCACCAACCAGGTTGTCGGCACCATCTTCACTGTAAGTCACTTATTGATACTAGTAGCCTATTAAAGCAGGTGGTTGAGGTCATTACAAAGAAAGCTGTACTCATGTCCCTCATTGTATTCTCTAAGGGAGTCTCTTGAAACATCATCACAAAGCATGCCAACGGGTACAAGTGAATCAGTAATCTTTACAGATTCTTCAAATCCTTCCAAAGAACAGGTCTGTAATTTTGCTTATTATCCTAGCAACTCTGACAAAATTCAAACATAAACAACCTTCTTCAGTATATTCTGCTTTTTATGTGTGTAGAGAGACTCATAGAATTTAAGTTCATGCAGTCAAGAAATATATAAAATTGCAAATTGCTGTAAAGGCAAATCTACAATTTGGCTATTTCATTGAGATGTACGGTGGCCCTTAGGGCTCAACATGCTGCAAATTCAGAAAACATCTTCATCAATTTGACAACATATGTGCTTCAAAAAATAACAACATATGCAAATACACAAACGCACTGTAAATTCAGTCCTACAACAGAACTGAAGTGTTTCCAGCGGACACAAGTGTGGGGGTGAGGTGGAGCACGAAGTCATCTTTTTATTTCATTTTTTCAGGATGCTGTCGATAACAAAAATATTGAAAACAAACCAAATGAGACGACAACCCTGTCAAGGTATTGAACAATTTTAACATGTTTTTATACTTATATCTATATGGTCAAAATTTTGCATATTGTAGTTTCTCACAATAATTCAGGTACAACCAGGAGGACATTTTTGTTTTACATTTTTATCCAAACAGATGTGTTAATCTTCACAGGTTGTCTTCAGACTTCGACTCTATAGAGTGTCTTGCTAAAGGAGGCTTTGGTCATGTTTACAAAGCAAGAGAAAAACTGATGGATAGGTGTTATGCTGTAAAGGTTGTCCGCAGTAAAGAGTAAGTCATGTATGCTCAGTAAGTTTTCAGTGTGCACTCCAGCAAATTTTGTGCAAGTAATGCATCAATAACTGAGCCATTTTTTTGTACTTATTTTGATCAGAAAAGCTCTACGAGAGGTGACTGCATTAGAAGACATCCTTCACTGTAATATTGTTAGATACTACAATTGTTGGTTGGAGGACTCAGAATATCATTGGGACAGTACAGTTGGCAGTTGCAGCACTACTCAGTAAGTCTGTCTGCTTGTTTAAATCTTTGCTCTACTGCATTTATTTACTAAATATTGTATGAATTTAATGTGATTTTACGAGATTTCTAATCTTACTTTTCTAGGTCTAGCAGTAATTCATCACACAAGTTCCTCTATATTAAGATGGAGTTGTGTGAGACCAACACACTCAAAGACTGGATAAATGAGAAGAATGAGGAAACTGTACAAGAGTCAAAGAGAAGAGAAGAAAGTCTACCCATTGTCCAGCAAATTGTCAGTGGAGTCAAATGCATTCACTCCAAGAAGCTCATCCACAGAGACCTGAAGGTGAGACCCAAGAGTACAGGCCATGACAAAGTTGATCCAGTGCATTGGGCTAGTTCACACTGGTATATACTGACAATTTAGATATTTATCTTACCGTGTAGTAACTTCTGCTCAAACTTTTGTTCATGTCTACCAGAACACAGGTTTAGTTAAAACTGAGTTTGTTAACCTTGAGCTGAGGGAAACTGAGATTTAAGTTCCTAAAACAGAGACGAATTTAACTCCCACTCTTTAACCCTACAATGACACATTCATTACACATTACTATAGTAGTAGTCCTCATTGTGGGGTGGGTCACATACTATTGAGCTTGGATTTATATGTAAAATAGACATCTGAGGGTTTACACTTAGTTTAAAGATAGAGATAAAACAAGTTACTTATCTGATTTATATTTTTGTATTTCATCTTTCAATTGTGGCCACATGCGAAAAACCCTAACCCTAAACTTTTTTTTTTTTTTTTAATATAATACACAGTAAGATTCTACCACTTTGCCATCCAATAAATAAATTAAAGTGTGGTAAACGATGGCTGATTGGACTATAATTGATTAAACTGAATAGTGTTACTTTATTTTCACCACTCCACCTCAGGCGCTTTCACTGCAGCATTAATATTTCTAGATCCACTAGATTAAAATGGAGGCTCTGCCCTTTATTTACATGTTGCCATGGTGAGTCATTGGAGCTCTAGGGATGATGGCTTCTCTTCATTCACCGTGCACACCCTTAACTCAGAGTGAACATACTCAGTTGACTGAACTAACCTCAACTGGAATAACTGGAATGAAAAACTAAGTTTCAGGATTAGGAGTTAGGGTTTTAATTCCTCCGCGCTGATGAAGGGTTATCTGTACGTACGTACATCCCATTCTTGTGAATGCAATATCTCAATAACGCCTTGAGGGAATTTCTTCAAATTGGGCACAAACGTTCACTTGGAGTCAAGGATGAACTGATCAGATTTTGGTGGTCAAAGGTCAATGTCACTGTGACCTCACAAAACACGGTTTGTCCTTGTTAACACAATATCCCGGGAGCTCTTTTAGGGAATCCCTTCACATTTGGCACAAATGTCCACTGGGACTCAAGGATGAACGGATTAGATTTTGGTGGTCAAAGGTCAGTGTGACCGCACAAAACTATTTTTAGCCACAACTTCACACAGCAATTATACAAAATTTCACACAAATGGTTAATTTTTAAAATATATTTTAATTATAATTCAGGTTGTGAGTTTATCAGATTATTTGTGACTATGGCACTATCATCTGTGGAGGTAGATGCTTAATGTTGAAATTGCTTCTTTTGTTTTTCAATGGTTAGCCTGCTAACATCATGTTTGGACAAGATGGAAAAGTGAAGATTGGAGACTTTGGTCTGGTCACTGCTGAGGCTGATGACGACGATGAAAACCAGACTGAGAGAACAGATGAAACAGGAACCATATCTTACATGGCTCCTGAACAAGTGAGATTGTCTTTGTTGGCATTCACTTTTGATTCTTCTATATTATTTTTTTTTTCTTTTAATAGGCTCAGTGCTACCTTATGCCCAACAGTGGTCCTGGTTTTCCCTAATTATATCAAGGTTCACGAACCTCTCCCGACATTCTTTCAAGTCACAAAATCTCCTGTTTTCCTGTTAAAAAACACATTCCTCTATGTTTAAAAATGTTTTCTCCATCATCACAATCTCAAACGGTGCCAGATTGCAATAGTTCCACTTTTCTATCTGGCTGATTACACTTTGTCTCATCTGCTTCCTCTAAATTTAAGTAGGCACTTAAATGCAAGGGGCCGTATTCACAAAAGACCTGATCTTACCTCTAGGAGTCCTCCTAAATGGTGTTATAAGTTCTTAAGAGTTTAAACTTTAGAAATATTAAGACTAAATTACAGTGTCACTTTTGCTTTAGGACTGAGAGAAGTCCTATGAGAAAGTGTGGGGCTGACCCTGTTGCTATAAATGACATCATGTTTAATGAATTAACTTAATCACTATGTCTACAGTGATTGGTTGACAGGTGACCGGTGTAGTTACCATTTATTAATACACAGGGCAACAAGCAAGTATTGAAGCAGTGTAGAGTTGAGCAAACCATCGTCTCAGGTGTTGATGGATTGTTTTGATTTGTTGGTGAGCCGATTGGATCTTAATTACCTTGATCTTCAAATATGCTTTTAAAAGCTATCCATCGTTGTTTTATTCCAAAACACTGGTGCAACAAGACACACCTGCATCAGCTGACTGATGGTGAGCAGGTCTTAGTGATTCAGCATATGTGGTCCCTTCAGCCTGACATGCCCCTCAGTTTTGGGAGTTTCTGCTACCTCACCCAGGTAGGAGCTACTTTTAGCCTTAGGATGTTTTGTGAATACAACCCCTGGAAGAAAGAGCTTCCATACAGTGTGAAAAATAAGTTGTGGTGTATCAGCTGGGGAGTGGTATGATAATACTACAATCTTGGAAAGTTGCATAAACCCCCCATCCCAAATGGTGCTTGTCTTTACAGCTTTTAGGCCAATAGGACATCATTTTAGTTTAACTGTGAAATCTCAGTATAACTAGTTCATTTAAACAATCATGCTGATTGAGGGTATATGTAAGGTTTCTGAAGTGCCTATTTTTATACTGTGCTCTTGTTTTATGACAGAGGAGCAATACAATGTATGACCGGAAAGTGGACATATTTGCTTTGGGATTGATATACTTTGAACTACTTTGGAACCTCTCTACTGGCCATGAAAGAGGAGTGGTGAGCGTTTTTACAGAATGTAACAATATGCTGTAAACTGTATAAAAGGTTCACTTGCAACCTGCCATTACAATGTTAGCATTATACTGTAGGCTTCTGTCAGTTGCATACAAATAAGAAACCTGCTATTTATTAGTGTTTAATGTCTTTTTAGTAAGTATCAAAAGCAAGATAGATTGCACTTACTGTTTTTCTGTCTTTCTTAATATTTCTTGTATTCAATTGCAACAGCCATAGTTGCAATTATTAGTTTTTATTTGTTTGTTTGTTTGTTTTTTCAAGCCAACTAATACTTTATCTCTTCATTTTATCATTCTATCATACTAGATTTTGAGTAATGCCAGAAGTCAGATGCTTCCTGAAGAATTTTCATTGAAGTTTCCTCAAGAGGTACCATTATGTTCTTCTGATATTTGTATTATAATAACTGATTTATTTGCCATATGAGGCAGTATTTACCACTGAGTCCCAGTGCCAGTCTTTATTTAAAAAAAGGCTGTGGAGAGTTTGAGGCACGGGTTTGCACTTTTACAATTGTTGGTCAAATGTCAAGTAGAACAGATGACAATGGTTTGAGAAAACAGCAGTCTCAATTTCAAAAGCTTCAAAAATGTTGCAGTGTGTTGCATTTATTATTAATAGTAAAGAGCTCTCATTAGCTGTTCTTCTTATGTTTTTTTTTCAGAACCAAATAATCATGTCAATGTTGTGTGTGAAGCCAGAGGAGCGACCTGAAGCAGGTGCACTAAAGGCCGACCTGGAAAAGTGGGCTCAGACGCTCAGTGCTTAACATATGTGTCAGGAAAAAGTAATTGTCTGATTATCACCAAGGCTTGTGATACGTCATAGGAAATTCTGGAAATCTGTCTCTTCTGATGTCTGTATTTTCATGGAATTATGTGATAAACTGTTTTTAATATCATTTCCTTATAAAATCTTTAATGTACTACACTTAACATAAAGCTGTACCCTGACCGATGGCCATGGATGGCAGCTTGGCATCCTGTGTTTTTCTAAAGGACACTTCAAACTCCAGACAGAGGGTCGTATCATTAAACCTGTGAATAATGGACCATGTCAAAAGAAATGCCAATGTAATGGGTTTTATAATCATGGAATGAAGCATGAAATCAAACACTAAGATGATTTCAATTTTTTTTATTAAATTTATTTATATCATGGGCGATGTACAAAAAACAATAATCTCAAAAAAGAGGAAAGATGCTTTTACCAGATTTAGCTACTATCTTATATCCATCTGCAGTCCCTGGGCAGGTTAAGGAACCGATATAACACAGAACATCACCACTACAAATCGTCTCACATCCAATTCATAACCACGTAGACATACGCAGACCCACATACGCATAGGCAAAATAACACACTTCACAGGAACAAACACAAAACAGAATATAGATATCAAAACTACATACAAATATCCATGGTTATAAAAACAAGTAATCAGAATGTCAAATTAATGTTTGAATGTATTTAAACTGATGTCACATTACAGCCTTTGCTTTGTATTGAATATGTTAAGTTGGACAATGAAATAATAGTTATCCCCGGGCAAAATGGTAATTTATTTACAGTTATTACTTTGTATGTAGACAGCCTGGCAGCCCATTCTACAGGTGGCATACAGCTGCTTGAGAGTTTCTGCTGCAGGTGTACAATTCCACGGTACGCCAAAATGTTCAGAGATGACACTGCAGCATTTATGTACCATCCAATACAATATGAATGTTGTCTTTCAAAAAAATAAATCATATTACCCTATCATTATTATGTATATGTGATTTACATGTGTATACAAAACTCAGGCCTTGGGTGAGCTGTTAGTAGATGTGCTGAGCTCTGTATATTACCAGAGCTCCAAATCTGTAGACTTGTGACCTGGACTTGAATTGGATTCCAGTCACAAAAATGAGGACTTGCACATAGGACTTTGCAACTCGACTTGTACTCCTCTGGCAACAGCTACAAATGCAGAGGAAATGTCAACAGAAATTACTCCATGAGAGAAGAGCAGAGGGTGACATCATATCTATTTACCCAGAATAGGTGTGTGTCTTAATGGGACACTTCTGTGCTTTTGTTTGTCCAGTTTAAGTGCCATGCCCCATGGTTGGTCAACATTCTCTTGTGGCTAGCCCAAGTGCCAGTCTGGGAGGAAAGCTGTGCTATGACTGCAGCCACTGATTGCAACCACAGAAAAAGTGGGCACACGGCTATTACTGTGGTTATGGTTGTAGTTAATGTCGTGGCTGTGGCTAACTGTGGCTGTAGCTATTGTTGTGGCTAATCGCAATTGCTAGGGTAGTTGTGGCTGTGACTGGCTGGTTACTCTTACTACATTTAGTAACATTGGCCAAGTCAGCATTGTAAAATCCAGTACACCCAGGATCTGAACCTGGTATTTCTATCACATATGATACATGTGATAAAATTCACAAGAGTTCAGCAATAGCATTACCATAATGTTCAGCCTACTCAACTATATCAATGGATACTGGCATGTAGGTTCATTACATGAAAAACCTGTCACAGCCTTGCTAATCAAAACAACCACACCCATTCTCAGCAACAGCAGTGCCCATATTTGCAGCCATGCCCATAGTCTAATCACAATTACAACCAGTCACAATCACAGCATCAGCAGCAGTTGTTCACATATTAAGTCTTTTTTTCTTTTCTTTTTTTTACAAAAACTTTTCTACACATGAACAAACTTACATTTCTCATGCATATTTAATTAACAGGTTTACAAAGGCTGATTTACAACTTTGGTATTATTTGTGAGCATCACTTTACAAGCTCAATATCTTTTTAACCCTGGTTTTAGTTCATATAGTCGGTCAGAGAATTTGGCCTCCACTACTACCATAGAGAGTCAGGATTACCTTTAATAACCATTAGACTTTAAACCCCCATCTCATCACAACATTATAACTGTCAATTTCAATCTACAGTGGCAAATAAATTGGCTAATGTTAACCACCATAATAAAATAAACACTGCCATTACCACACTAGTACATATAGCTAACTGCAGAATGCAATGTTATAATAAAATATATTTATAAGTAGGTTAACATAACTCCGTACATGACACCTGTCAAAATATGAAATATAAGTGTTTCTTCACCTAACCTGAAGAGGTAACCCTCTTCAAAACGTTGCCCCGACCATGACACATTCTGTACACACCACTGGACATTTAATTTTGTTCAACATATAATAAAATCATTGTAGGGACATTATTGATAACAAATACCGATACATTTCCTCCATTTTTCCCAGTTTCGGTTTCGATAGTTGTGATACAGTTGAGGCATCTACGTAAATTATGAAGAAATCGAAACTTAAAGGTATCTGAAGACAGCTGAACCGAATGAGCAGCCGTATATGTGCGCAGACCGAGGAGTCGGACGGGAGCACAGTGAGCTTTGTACTTTGTTCGTCTATTTTTTTTTTTAATGTAATTTGAGCGTAAAATCTGCTGCGTCATTTATAATGGCAACTGGAAACTACGTAGCTGAACTAAACGAGCATGCACAGAAAAGAGGCTATGAACTGCACTATGACGACCTTGGCTCTTTTGGTCCTGACCATGTTAAAACGTAAGTTGAATACATGCCTGTATCAGTGTTATCATATCTATGAACATTATTCTGCCGTAGTCATGCTCCACCAATATGGTGAGTCTCTCTGGGTGGCATGATACCCACAGCAAAGCAGCTAATCTTCATTACATTTCAGGAGGAGGCCTGGTACATTAGAAAACAAATAAAATAAATTGAAACTAAATATACAACAAATGTATGAAGTAATGTAGGATTCTCACAACTTTGTACTCACAGCAATAAGAGATTTTTTCCATGTACGTTAATGTGTCTCTTATAGCAGCAGATAACATGGCTGGGATAATATGTGCTCTGTAAAATGTTTATTTGTAATGTGCATAGTAAATTGTCAGGTGACAGAGGAGAGGTATAAAATTGCACAAAATGGAAAGACTTGAGCATAAGTTTGAATAAAAGCAGTGTTATAGTTAATCTATAGATATAACTGAACAAGGCTGTTTGAACATCCCACAGTTGTCACAACATACCAAGATGATGAGTTCGAATGTTACCTCCTACAGGCTGAAACCGGCAATGTGCTGATTTATGTGATTTAAACCACTCCTCAGCTGATGTGACGATTGCTCCACAGATTCAGCCAGAGGGCAGTCTTAAACGGTAAAGTCTACCCAGAGGGTGTGGGGAAGAGCAAGAAAGAAGCAAAGCAAAATGCTGCTAAAAATGCCCTGAACTGCTTGTTGGAGAACAAACACCAGGACTCAGCTGACTTAGTAAGATTATTGTTCCTCTTAGAGCATGTTGAATTGTACATATTAAAAAGGAAAAGACCAATTTGTGGCATATGTCTCCTTGATGTATATTTGCTATTATGTTGACAGACAAATGGAACAGAAGCTTCCACTTCAACAGTTCTTCAGACGAGTATCAGTAACATCAACTATATATGTTGGCTCAATGAATATGGTCAGAAGAACAGGAAGACTATAAGGGCTGTGGAGTCAACCAGACCGGGACCAAATAATACTGTTCAGTAAGCATGCAAACTACATCCAAATTCTTAGGCATTTTGTTACCATTTAAAGATGCATTAAATAAAAGTTTTTTGTCATATTAGATGTTGCAGCTTTGTGGTTGGTGATAAGGAGTACCCAGCTGTCTCTGGAAATACAAAGAGGGAAGCCAAGGAGGAAGCAGCAAAGCTTGTATATGATGTGATACATGGCAGTACAACTACAGAGGTGAGTTAATATTGATACACACCAGAACTGAATCATAGACCTACAGTAAAAACATATTGTGTTGTAGTGTGTGACATACTCAGCAGGCCACAGTCTACTGTGTGAACCATCTCAAAATTGCACATTTTTTTCCCCAGACTGCAGATGAGAATTACAACAGTACATCTGGTCAGCAACATGAGGCATTAACTCAGGATGTTTCTGATATCTGGTGAGTGTATCACAATGGCAATGCATGGTTTCATTTTGATATCTCCATCAATGTGAAATGTTACTCGTTTATTACAGTACCATGACAAGAGACCTGAGTGTGACCTCCAGAGACAACAGCTTTACAAAGACAAATTTCATTGGAATTGTGAACCACTACTGTCAGAAAACAAAACGTTCCCATGATTACATCTTAGAGAGAAGATGTGGTCCACCACATAACCCCCAGTGAGTATGACTGTACACTGTATGAAAACCCCTTGATAGATGTGAGCGAGAAATCTTAACAAAATGATGTAAACATTTCCTCTCTGCCTGCACAGATTTTTCTACAAGTTAGTGATCGACAACAAGGAATACCCTTTGGCTGAGGGTAAGAGTATCAAGGAAGCCAGACAAAATGCAGCTGAGCTGGCCTGGTCTGCTCTTCAAGAACAGTCTGACTGGGACAGTCAGGTATTTGATATTTTCTACTCCCTCTGTGTCATCAAAATATAATTTGGCAGAATAATAGAAGATTTTTCTTCAGAAAACTGTACTTAGTGATAATGGCTCATATTAGCAATGGCAGCAGCCCACCTCAAAACCAGCTTCATTTTGAATGAAATGGTTTCACTGAAGTGAAATTCACATTAAATTATTATTTTTAACATTACGTTAAACACCTTTCCTGTGCATTTTAGGTGTCCTTCAGGTCCACAGTGTCCGAAGATGGTGCACCATCTGCCTCTGCCCCATCAACTACACAGTAAGCACTCAGTGACATTGGTAGGAGAGCAGAACTGTATACCTGTACTATCAATGTACTAAATACTGAGAAGTCTGTCTCTATGTCTGCCATTGTATTCTGCCAGGGGCTCCACTGAATCATCATCACTAAGCGAGCCAATCAGTACAAGTGAATCAATAGTATTCAGAGAATCATCGAACCCTTCCAGGGCTCAGGTTTGTTCTCCCATGATTAAGCCTACACTCATAACGAGCACTATATATAAAGCGAGAAAGTATGGTTTGGGTCTGTGTTGCTCAGACTGGCTTTCTGCAGCAGTTGTTGAGTCAGGTGTCTCAGCACAGTCACCACAGCATGCATGCTTATATTTTAAAAGCCCTTATCATAAAAAACATTTAAACCAGTCAGTGGTCATTTGTTCTTTTTTTGCTGTGAGAGAGAAAGAGTGTAGTTAATAATACTGGCTCATACTAATAGTGGTGCAGCAGATTCTATCACCAGCTGCTTTTGCATACTGTATCTGTCATTTACCATGATGAAAAATTAAAATGTTTCTATTAAGGTGAAATATAGTATTAACTAATTAATTATGTCTGACATTAAAAAGTGTACTGTACACCATTATCTTTGGAGCATGTACATTGTAACAACCAAACACATTTTGTGCGTTGTAGGGGCCCTTATGGTCAACTGGGTCTGGAAGTGATGCACCAACCAGTTCATCAACACCATCTTCAATGTAAGTCTCCTCAATGACACTAGTATTTAAGCAGATTTTAGAGTTTATAGTAAAGCAAAGCAAACTGTGTCTCTCATTGTTTTCTTCAAGGGAGTCACCAAGCATGGCAACGAGTAGAAATGACTCTGCAATCACAGATTTATCAAACTCAACTGAGGATCAGGTCTGTTATTTCTCTAAAAATCATAACAAACTGACAGTTAAAAGAAAAGTTCACCTTGCACAGTATATTATGCATATAAATAGTTGTGTTATAAGAGTATTAGTTTGTCTAGTCAAGGAAATGAAAGATCTCAAGTTCCTTTAAATCCAAAAATGTAGCAGATGCCAATATCCTGTTAAACATTAACAGGTGCTGGACTAATGAAAGAAGAAGAGTATGGAGCTTGAAACATCACTGGTGGATATCTCATTAAAACTGCATAAAGTAGTTACAGAGTGCGGACCTTTCTTTAAGTTCTTGTAAATGCAATACTAACAACTACTTGTAATATGGAGAGAGTTGCTCTAAAAGACAGTCGCTGTAGCAACTTGACGTGGATGAAATGTCTACATCCAACTTTACAGTCAGAGCAGGGCACAAGACTGCAGGCCAGTTATTCTTAGTAATTCAGATGGAGTTTTTTTCAACATAGTAAATCCATGTCATGTTTTTATTTTATTCTCTAAGGCTGCTGAGAGTATGGGTAATACATCAATCCAGTCAAGGTATGAAAAAACTACAATGCTAGCTTATTTATAACAACCTGCAAAAGTGTACATACATATGTACACTTTTGCAGGTTCTGTACAAGACATTAGTGTTTTCCTTGCTTCTTTTTACCTTCATGTCTAAACTATTTTGTTAACTTCTACAGATTTGCATCAGACTTTGATAGCATAGAGCGTCTTGGCAAAGGAGGCTTTGGTTCTGTTTACAAAGTAAGACAAAAACTGTCGGACAAGTATTACGCCGTCAAGGTTGTCCGTAGTAACGAGTAAGTCTGTGCAAGATGCAGTGCAACTTTTCAGTGTACATTTCAGCATTTATTTGTACAAGTACAGTAACATTTCAGTAGATGCATTGCAGGATAGTTTGATAGTTTTATTAACTAATTTTCATGTAATTCTTTGATCAGAAAAGCTCTGCGAGAGGTGAAGGCATTATCAGAGTTTGAACACCAGAACATTGTTCGATACTACCATTGTTGGACACAGGATACAGAGTACAAAGACCACAGTTCAACAGACAGTTCTCAGTAAGTCTCTTACTATTCTTATTTATTAAAAATAAAAGTGTGATATCTCACCAATTTTTTCTTTTTTAGGTCTGTCAGTAATTCATCGCCAGAGTTCCTATACATTATGATGGAATTATGTGACAACAAAACACTTAAAGGCTGGATACATGAGAGGAATGAGATGACGCTGGAACACTCCAAGAGAGGAGAAGAAAGTCTAACCATTGCTCTACAAATAGTCAGTGGAGTCGAGTACATCCACTCCAAAAATCTCATCCACAGGGATCTGAAGGTGAGACAAAGTCGACTTAAGATGTGTTGCTGTGTGCTGCCATTTATTAATGAATGTTGATTCTCAGCACCAACATTTTCTGTTGATAAATTCAGTCAGGATGGAAAGAAACCCCACCTGAAGTCATTTAAATGAACTTATGAATTTGTCCCATTTTTGTGACAAAATTCTCGTCATGTTAGGTTTATGAGTGGTGAATTTTTGATTTTCCAACAGTTACTAAGCTGACCAGATCATTTCTTATTCTACGTCATTCAAGGAGCTTGGTGTCAATTAGTTTTAATTGTTCCTTTTGCTTTCTCTGGTTAGCCTGCTAACATCATGTTTGGACGGGATGGAGAAGTGAAGATTGGGGACTTTGGTCTAGTCACTGCTGAGGCTGATGACGATGATGAAAACCTGATGGAGAGGACATACAAAACAGGAACCTTATCTTACATGGCTCCTGAACAAGTGAGATGGTCGACGTTGACATTGGCATTTGATCCTTTTGTATTATTGTTTTTAAATGCTTGTGCTTGCACTTACTTTTACAGGCTCGGATAAGTTATCTGCTACTAGTAGTCTACAAACCTACTACTACCATCTATGCCCACCATACTTTTCAGTTCTCCCAGTTTCCCACCCAGAGCATCCAATCCTCTCTCTCACTGCTTTTCCAGTCATAACTTCTCCTGTTCTTATCCTGTTGTACAACAAATTCAACACTCGCCGTGTGTCTCCCCATCACCTGTCTTCACTGTAGGCACTGAGAGATATTACATCGTATTACAACAGCACATTTTAGTAAAATATGCTGGTATTTTTATAAAATAACTGTAGGTGATTCCTATCTTTACTGACTTTATATATCAGTGTTAGTTGCAGTGTTTACAGCCTTTAGGCCTTTATTTTAAAATTTTACTGTAAATGCAAACAGAGACACTGAGTTAGCTTTATTTACCTTATAAGAGTAACTATTGAGTTTAATCTGTTAATGTGAGATCATTAAGGGGACATATTAGGCTGCTGTAGTGACACTTGTCAATACTGCATTTTTATTTTATCACAGGAGAGTGAGACGACCTACAACCGAAAAGTGGACATATTTGCTTTGGGGCTGATTTACTTTGAACTTCTTTGGAAACTCTCCTCTGGCCATGAAAGAGTAGTGGTGAGTCGTTCAGGATCTGAACGTAACATTGTGTGTATAAGTATGTATGTATAAGTGTGACAAATGACTTTCCTCGACAAAGTTACCATGTTACACGGGCCTATGTCTGTTATATACAAAAGCAGCTAACTTTACACCACAGGCTGATTTCTTTTCAATATAGTACTTACAAAAATCTGTGTACATATCAGATATGATGGTACTTTGGCGTGTATCTAAAGTCTTATTTGATCTTTCTTGTATTTATTTGCAATGTTCAATACAGCATGATTTGTATCATTACTGTATCTCAAGCTAACTAACATGTTCTTTCATCCTTTTATCACTGCATAAACACCAGGTTTTTAGGGATGCCAGGAGTCAGAAGTTCCCAAAACAGTTTGGTATAACTTTTTCCCAAGAGGTAGGTGACCATATACTTTTTATCCTAACTGTCTTCCATGCCACATGAAACAGTATTACCCACAGGGCGGCGTACAGGCGTTTGCACTGTTACAACAGTCACCCATCTCTAAAGCCTCAAAGTATGAGGAGTCAGAACAGAACTGTTGCTGTGTATGTGGATAATGTCAAATATCAAGCTGCACACTGATGTTGATGTTGATGATTTCAATCTCAGTTTAAAAAGATGTTCATGTGTGGGGAATTCTGTGTGTGATTTTCAGAAATGTTGCAGTATGACTGATTTTATCTTTCTTGGTTTAGAGCTCTCAGGAGATGATTTTGTTGTTGCTGTTTTTTGCAGAAACGAATGATTAAATCAATGCTTAGTCTGAGGCCAGAAAGCCGACCTGAAGCAAGAAAACTGAAGGCAGAGCTGGATCAATGGCTCAATGCACAAAAAACTATGCATCAGCAAAATGTCACTGTCTGATAATCACAAAAGATAAATCAAGTAAGAAATCATAGAAGATGATGAAAATCTGTCGCTTCTGATGTCTGTGATTTCATGAAATGATATGATGTATGTATGCTTTATAGCACTTTAACCTGAGATCTGAACAAAGCGCCTCACAAGGCCTCACGTTCAGTTACTCACACATACTCACATACCTATGGCAATGGTTGGCAGTTTGGGGACACTTCAATATGTAGACTGGAACATCAATGAAACATAAAAATCAATTGTATCATGATTTTAAAAAGGGACTTTTACATTAATTAACATCCTTGCTCTAAATAATCATGTGGGGGGTAATTTCAGTGTCAACAGTTGACTTTTTATTAAATGTTTTTATTTGTTGTTGTGTAAATGTATTTTAAGTGATGTCACAATAAAGCCTTTGCTTTGTATTGACTATGTGAAGCTGGAAAATAAAATAATGATTATCCTGGGCAAAATGGTATTTTATTTACAGTTTTTAGTTTGTACGTAGACACATTGGCTCTGTACAGGCAGCATACAGCTTCATCAGTAAAACATTAAGTGTCATTATATGTGACTTTAAAGGTCAGGCCAGCAATACCACCTTGGATACTTCCAGACACCACAGTAGATTTTACGTTAGAAAGGAAGAACAAAGGTAAGGAGTTTATTTATATTCACATACAATACAGGCTTATATGAATAGTTACCATAGTTACATCCAGATCAATACAGATGCACCACAGAGTTTAATAAATAAAGTAGGAGTAGCAGTTATTGTTCCATAATTACATATCAAAGTAGGAAAAAGTATGAATAAGGAAGTTTAATGTACACTGGATAAAAGCTGGCAATACCGCAAACATTATACAGAATTCAAATGAGGGTTTACAGTAATATTTTTGTGGTTACCGGTACATATTCGCATCAAAGGAAATCAAATGTCAGATAAGGTTGCAAACGAGGCCATAAAACGTAATCATAATGATTTCTGTCTGACACACATCAAGGGCATTATGAAGCAAAGATTGAAGGAAAGGTGGCAAAAGGAATGGGATGAAGAAAGAAAAGGACGATGGTAACTAATTTGATTGAAAAGATATGAGTTTTTATTTTTTAATGTGATTTAACAGTCCGATACACACATACACTCCATACCAGTTGGGGGCGATAATGCTAACCACTAATTAAAGAAGAGGAAGATGATGAGCGAAAGGAGGAGGGGGAGGCGAAAGAGAAAGAAGAGCGAACTTTAAATCTGTGACAGAGGGAAGTGCAGCAGTGCCACAACTAGTGCTTGTGCCTCGTTCACCAGTTTGTGCACTCAGGGTGTTTTACGATTCGGGATGGGAAGAAAAAACTATGTAGCTAAACTAAAGGAGCATGCACGACGAACAGGCTCAGAGCTGAAGTTTGAGGCCGCTGCCTCTGAGGGACCAGAATGCACTAAAAGGTGAGTTGAGGCCATTTTAAGTTCCCACTCGGTAGGTCCCTCATGCAGAAGTATGTCCACTTACTGGCGCAGCGGATGTTTACCAGACATGCACCTGCTAAACCAACTACTACTTCGTTATATTTTAAGCCTGTCTTTCCTGCAACCCCAGAAACATACTGTTTAAAAACACTTCAGTAACTTTGTGAACGGAAACCCGTTTTCAAATTAAAACCGGTATCAAAATGCTAAGAACCGGGAACCGACTAAAAAAAAAAGAAAAAGAAATTCGGTTCTGCTTATCGGTTCCTACCGCACAGTACGGTTCCTACATACCTGCATGGTCGTTGTAGGTGGCTGTCTATGCGAGTTTGCGTGCAGCATGCACCTCATCCGGTGAAGAGCTTCAGGCTCAGGGAGAGCCCGGGTGCACCAGACTGTCACGACGATATAAGATTTACTCCATACAATTAACTCCACTGAAAAGTTTGTGAAATGTCTGACAGGCTGACAATTTTATTTTCAGTTTTAAAATAGATATTGGTTTGGTCATCAGAAAGTATAAGTCATGTTTTGATTGTAAGGTGTAGTAGGAGTTTCATCTGTTTTTTCAGTGATAATTAACTGCACAGAGTTTTGTGTAATGTTACAGTTACACAAAGAGATAAAAGTACATCCAAACAATAAAATGTAAAGTGAGATAAGTAAATATGCGGGAAAATAAACAAAATCCACAAATAGAAAAGCAATAACACTGAAGAGAGCTGTAGCACACAGGTGTGGTGTGTGTGTGTGTGTGTGTGTGTATGTACATGTCACCATCATCATCAGTAACTACAGATTTTAACAACTCTTCACCAGGTTCGTCCTGAGGGCCGTGGTCAATGGCCAAGACTTTCCTAATGGTGTGGGGGAGAACAAAAAGAAAGCCAAGCAGAATGCAGCTAAAAGTGCACTGAGAGGTTTGAGTGAGAAAGAAAATCAGAGGCCGATGGTATGAATATTCTTCTATTCTTCTTTTTGAATTGTATGGTCACATGTGGAAAACCATAAACGGAAGCATGTTTGATTAATTGGTTTGTTTATCCTGAAAGATTGCAGTAGTTGATAAATAGAGCAAACTTTATTTTTTCTTTCAGTGTGAAAATGCATCAGAAAATGTGGCAAAAAATCCTACGGAACAAGTTTATCAGAAAAGTATCGCTAAACCTTACTGTCTCAATGAATATGGTCAGAGGAGCAGGGTGCCTATAAAGTCTGCGAAATCAAGACCAGGACCAAATAATGCTACTCCGTAAGTGTCACCATGCATCCTAATTACTTTGTACTTGTTTTGTCTGCGCTCAAAAATGTATTGAAAAAAGATTGTCTAATTTTAAATGCTGTAGCTTTGTGGCTGGTGATGAGTACCCGGCTGCCTCTGGGAAAACCAAGAAGGAAGCCAAGGAGGAGGCAGCACCCCTTGTATATGATGTATATGGTACAGAGGTGAGTTGTAATACACACCAGTCTCTCCTGGCATATATGAAGCACTAGAAAATTGCAGAAATTGTAAACATTGCGGTGCTTGTGTGGATTATGATGTTCTAAATGATGAAGGTGTCTGTAACAAAGTAAAGACGTGAACCAAAAATATACAGGCCACAGTTTAGTCTACTAATTAGTAATCAAGAATAAAAAGGAAAAAAAATAATCTGAGGGTACGAAGCCAAACAAAATGTAGCTCAGCTGGCCTAGTCTGTTCTACAGGAACAGTTAGACTTGGAGTGTTTCCTGTACTTTTAATATATTCACATAAGCTTTATGGTCACATTAGTAATCTGTCAACATCCGCATTGCATTTTTTTTTCCTGAAGATTTGAGAAGGTCACCAAATTTGTTGCTGTAGAGAACTACACCCTAACAACTTCAGCTTTTTATTTTGAAATTCCTTTTTGTAACATATGCAAACCAAGATATTATTCTGAAAACTGCTATGAAAAATAAAACAATGCAGAAGTTTAAGACTCCATGTGTTTCAGGTGTCCTTCTGTCGCTCTGTATGTGATGACGGTGCCCCAACCAAGCGCTCCACACCACAAACTAAACTGTAAGACACTGAATAATATTAGAGTCAAACAGGTTTGACAAACATATGTCACATATTTTACTAATGTCTCTTTGTATCGTCAAAAGGGAGTTCTGTGACGCAAAATCAAAAAGTGTGGCAACAACTACAAGTGACTCTGTTGCTTTCAGCGATTCATCAAACCATTCCATGGTTCAGGTCTGTTCACTTCACTTTCTAATCTTCACTCTACATGATACTGGAGGTTAAAACACTACGATTACATTCCCCTAAAAGGGCTAAACACTGGGTTTTGTGTAAGCCCTTGATGTGTAATTATGATGATTTGATGCTTCAGACTATTCTCCTCTGTATAAGAGGACGTGATATCATGTGGTTGAGGATTATTATGGGAATGATTATTTAGAGCAAACAAAACTTTTGATCATTTTTATGATAAAGACATTTTGATTTATCTTGGTATGTCTCTAAAATGTTGTTTAATTTTTACTGGCACCATGTTTCTTCCAATTACAAAGGAACATCCTGATGTGAAGCCCAAAAGAGAGTAAGTCCATCATCAGACTCACCTTAAAGTTACAGTACATAATATTTCACCAAATATTGCGGCACAAAGATCACAAAATGACATTATTGCTGCTAATAATTTTTTATATCTTCTTAGATATGCAGCAGATTTTCAAAACGCCAGTCAGAACAGCAAAGAGGTATAGTGACTACTGGGGATTGGAATCAATTCAATAGTATAGTATTTTTTTTCTCCAGTATAAGCTCTAAATCATGTTTTGTTGATGAAGGATGTGATGATTCCTGAAGAAATGAACACAGGAACTGGTCTGAGTGAGGGGACATCAACGCCATCAGAAACCTCCAGGTATGGAAAGTTTAAACACTGGATTTTAAAATTAGCATGTTAATATGTTTACTTTGAGTCTATCCCAAAAATTGATCTACAATCAGAAAGACATATATTTATCTTCTCATCTTTTCCTTCAACAGTAAAACATTTACATCAGAATTTGACTCCATAGAGCGGATCGGCAGAGGAGCCTTTGGTTGTGTCTTCAAGGCAAAACAGAAACTGTTGGGGAAGTTTTATGCTGTAAAGATCGTCCCCTGTAAAGAGTAAGTCAAGTATACAACGTTTGTTTATCGTGTGATGTACCTATTTCCGATGCAGTGCAAGATAAGTTAAGAGGTTTTAACAGCTGTTTTCTTCACTCCTCAGGAACAAGAAAGCTCTACGAGAGGTGAGGGCACTGTCTGACCTCCATCACCACAACATCGTCCGATTCTACTCGTGTTGGGTGGAGGATTCGGGGTACCAATTGGACAATTCAGATGACAGTTGCAGCACATCACAGTAAGTCTCATCTACTTATTAAAGAGTAACTTAAAGCCTTAAGAAATTCTTCCCTCACCACCATTAGACATAGATGGGAGCAGGACCTGGGTGAGAACATAACGGACAAAATTTGGGATACTATATTAAAACAAGTCCACACCTCCTCTATATGTTGTCGGAGAGATTCCCAGACATAGATCCAGCATGCAACAATTGTAAAAAAGATCCCATCTTCCAATCTTCATACTTACTTTTTGGGCAGTTTTTGCTTTTTAATTGGATGGGGGCAGTCAGAGAGGGACTGGATGGTCAGGGAGAGAGAGAGGGGATGATATGCAGCAAAGGGCCACGGGCCGTTTCCAACCCATGGCCACTGAGGTAAGGACTGAGCCTAAGTGGTATGCGCCTGTTACCTGTCCAGGAGAAGCACAGCAAGTTCTCTTCATCGCTGAAACGCTTCATTTACACGGATCCATTTGATGGGACGTGCACACAGATCTGCATTTATAGAACAGCCCATAGGAACCTATGGTAGAGAGTTACACCCAGCATCACTGATAAGTGTATCACGGGCTCGTGGGGTACACCTGTACATCACCACAGCAAGGTGAAAAGTTAAACCAAGATGAAATTTGCAACAGGTGTTAAGTTGCTCTTTAAAATTCTTACTTACTATATGAGGTATGTTAATGCACTTATGTCTTTTCTTAATTTTCTAGGTCTTCCAGTAATTCATCTACAAAGTTCCTCTATATTCAGATGGAGTTGTGTGAGACCACAACACTTAAGGACTGGATAAATGAGAGGAACACTCTGTCTCAGCGAAACTCAAAGAGAAGACAGGAAAGCCTGACCATTGCCCTGCAAATAGTCCGTGGAGTCGAGTACATTCACTCCAAGTTGTTCATCCACAGAGACCTGAAGGTGAGAGGAAGTGGATAAAATCATTTATTACATCCCATCACTCATGAAGCTACATGATTGTCTCTTCTATGTCTTTCCTCTGGTTAGCCTGCCAACATCATGTTTGGACGAGATGGAAAAGTGAAGATTGGAGACTTTGGTCTGGTGACTGTAGAGAATGATGACGATGCTGACAACGTGATGGAGAGAACAGTGTACAAAGGAACCCCGTCTTACATGGCTCCTGAGCAGGTGAGATAATCTGTATGGACGTTAGTTTCCTCAGTATTATTAAGTACTGGTTGTCAAAGGGGGACATTAAAGGTATCCTGTGGAGATTTTAACCCCTTGTGAAAGCAGGCAGCAGTAAATGTCGCACCTTGGAGTGTGTTATCATTTTCATAGCAACTTCACTGAAGGAAAAAAATAAATTTTTAGTAAGGTTCTAATCACTTTTGCCCGTCTTTAGGTTGGATTTAATGTGATATAATGACGTTTCAACAAACAAAAACAAATACAGCAATGGCTTCATTAGGTATTGAATGAATGAATTTATATAGCACCTTTCATACAAACAATGCAGCTCAAAGTGCTTTACAATTTAAAGGAAAAAAACACAGCAACTACTCGTATTGATCTAGTTAATCGTATTGGATTATTTGCACACAGGGACCTATAAGTGCTTATTTTTAACATATGGTGAATAAGGAGAAACATTAAGCTGCCTCGTGCCTTTTGTTAATGTGCTGTGTTCTGGTTTTACGACAGAAGAGTGAGACGACTTATGACCGAAAGGTTGACATTTTTGCTTTGGGGCTGATATACTTTGAACTTCTTTGGAAAATCTACACTGGTCATGAAAGAGAGCTGGTGAGTTGTTTACAATACAAAATTTTGCTTAGTGAGTCATTAATACCTGGCTATGTTGTTAATTGTTTAAGTTCATTTATATGGTACCAGGCATTTTCATCAGATATCTTTGTAAATGATTTAAAGAAATAATTGAGCAACGTATCAGATGTGTCAAGCCCTTTTTGTTGCTGCATGAATTCCAGATTTGGGGTGACGCCAGAAGACAGAAACTTCCCCAAGAGTTTTCAAGCAGCTTTCCTGAAGAGGTATGTCAACATTTTGTCAATGTACTTGCAGTAGAACCATCAGTATGCTAATGAGAGTGTGTTTACTGAGCGTGTCAGCTCCGTCTTAATCATGTGTGTATTGTCTTTAAGATGAAGACATGTTTTAAGGTTAGGTTAAGCTTAGGTTTAGGCAAGTAGTGGTTATGGTTAGAGGTAGAGCAAAGGGCCGTCCACACCAAGAACAATAACCATAAATATATCGTTTAAAAATCATCACTCAAGGACACTCATGGCGGAGTCCACACTGTAACGACAACAACAGTGGCTAACAATATTTTTGGGATTTGATGAAAATGGTATGGAAACGCTGACAGCCAATCAAAATACATTACAATTTTACTGCGCATCACATCAACACCTCATGTTCAGAAAATGAAATAATTGATTAATGTATGAGCTGTAGCACTCGCAGCTCAAATCTTCCTGGGTTCAACAAATATTAAAAGTGGGGAAACTGTTTCTCTAATCCCCTTCGCCACTTAAAGAAACCAGGTTTGTCTTTTACATGACGTTTGAGAAATCAGCTTACTGGAGAGAGCTGACTGTAACCTGGTTACTTCACCTGCTTGTAAAGGGCGTGTTGGTTTACTGCCGATGTTCACAACTGGGCAGGTGGGACATACTGGTGTTTGAACTGCTATCACAGTTCTCCATCTGTTGAGCCAAAAACAGGAATGTTGCTTTTAATAATGAAAAAAATATGTATTGTATGACAGTATTTGAGGAATATCGCAATCAGCCGTTAAAATTTAATTATTAAAAATGTCAAAATAAAGTATCTATCTATCTATCTATCTATCTATCTATCTATCTATCTATCTATCTATCTATCTATCTATCTATCTATCTATCTATCTATCTATCTATCTGGATGTTTTTTTCTGTAGCTGTTCTTTATTTTTACTATGTTGATGATGATAATGATTTATTATTATTATTATTATTATTATTATTATTATTGCAGTACATCATCATAAGGTTAATGCTGAGTGTGAAGCCAGAAGACCGACCTGAAGCAAATCGGCTCAAGACAGACCTGGAACACTGCACTCAAAGACTCAACACTCGAGCCTTAGCACGTCACGGCAGCAGAACTGTCTGATCAACAGAGGAATGAAAAAAAAAAAATCATGGCAATTTATTTTACATCATGTCCCATACATGTACTTGGTAGGTGGTCAGTTTTAATGTCTGAAAGGCATCTCCACAGTTCGCTGAGTATTGTGCAATGCTGTTGGGACTGAGGATAAATAAAGATACAACTTGTGTCATGAATTTCAGAAGAAAATTAAATGTTTCATGCTGGCTTAGTTTTCTTTTAATACTTGATGATGAGTCTGCTGGTTGGGCTCTGGAGGCTCTTTTGAAGAATTGAAGCATTTGTTTTTTTAAAAAAAAAAAAAGAAATGCTACAGTTCTTGCATGTAATTTTTTAAAACCACATGTATTTGTGATTTTTGGATTACACTACAAAGATCTGGGGGTGTTGCCAGTCAAAGTGCATGCACAAAGTAGCCCTGAAAACTCACAGTATAGCTGATTATGAGCTGGGAGTTGAGCAGGGTTACGTGCTGTGACTGGAATATGTTAATTATCATGCCTGCCAATAAGATGGGAAAGGGAGCTTGAAGAATGAATGTTGTTGACTTTACTGTCTGTGTATATAGAGATTGCTTGGCTCTTGTTTTTTTAAGAACTTGTTACTGGATAATTAAATATGAGAAATGTGTGATTTGATGAGGTTGGGAATTAAATTAATTTTGGTTATTGTAGTCATGTTGAGCATATCCTTAAAATGAATACATCCCTGTCTGTACAGTGTTTATATTTGTTAAAGGCTTACCATCAGTAAATGAAATGTTTATCTGTCATACACACGTGCACTGCCATTTGCTTTGCTTTGCCATTTGCAATACATGAGTTATGTAATATAACTCATGTATTGTCAGCCCACATGTGCAATTTCTGATTTCTTATTATTACATTATGTGTTGTTTGTTTTGAAATGGATTTTCCAGCCTCTGTTTGAGACTCCTTCTTGGTTACTGTGATTAAAATGTGATGTCAAAATGATATAAGTGCCTATGTTGTATAGCTTCTTGTGTCAAGTTACTTAGATGCAGCACAATGCACACCTTGGGCACTTCATCATAATATCAATTCAGCCTTCGTCTCCAAATCTGTCCATTTTCTGACACTCCCAGAATTCATACACTGTGCTTTCCTGTGAGCATCTCTCAAAAATATTGCACACGGCTTGAAATCTGCCTGCCTACTCGCCAACTGTTGCACAGATACACTGATGCAAATGTACATATTTTCACTTTAAGTACAAAGAAAGGCAGAATTTGGCTCTTTTGAGGCCGCAGTTTTCCCATGATCAAGATGGCCCCATGATTTACAGTTGGATTCACCACATGAGGGCAGTCTTGCCTTTTCATTTTTTTATGTACAGTTTATGGCACAATTCAGCTTCCCAAAACTGCTGTCTGATGACTTATTTGATAATGGTAACATCGTAAGAGAAACGAGAAATACACAAAATACCGGTAGTAATTTAGTAGTAAAAACAGTTGCGTTTAGGTACAAGTGAAACAACAATTCATCTGCCATTTCCCAAACAAATTGTTCAACACTCATTAAATAAAAAACTAAAAGAACAAATGTATCATCCATGTATAAATCGCTCAGTTTGAAATGCTGAGAGACATCGGAGTTTGCCCACTGACCTGACTGTTGTTGTCTTCCCTACAGTGACCTGTAGGGGGAGCTGTGGCTCTGCGTGGCTCAGGCTGCTCAGAGCGTGGCTGCAGACTCCAGCCCTCCAGACTCAGCCTGTGGGTGAGAGGTTTATTCACAGTGAGAGGGCCAAAACTGAGGGAGCCGTGTGACATTTAATCATGCCTCCGGCGCATGCTGGATGATTAGCATCTCTGTGGAAAACAACAGTAACAAGTGCCAAATGCAGGATCCCACACAATCACCTGGCAGTGGCGCACGCAGTCACATAGGCCCCGATAATCAGCACAAATCAGCTCCTGTGGCTCAGTATGCTAACTCAACTATCACTGCAAAGAGCCATAACATTTGCCTAGTTTCCATGAATAGAGGCTGTAGGTGGACTGACAGTCTTCGTGTAGACTGATTAAACTGGTTGATTTTTGTCTCATCAGTCATGGCCCTGCCTCTTAGACACCCTGTAAAAATGTGATGGTGGCAGAAGCTGTAAGGAGAGAAAAAGCTGCAGAAATAAACCACTTGTACTACCACGATAACCTTATCCTCCCTATAGAGAACACATTTTGTGGGTTTAGCCTGCTGCTCTTTCAGAGTTCTTCAGAGACAAAGTGTGCCAAGTTTGGTTATATTTATGTGATAGTCAAAATTCAGTTTAATTTGGTTAAATATTATTTCACTTCCTCAATAATTACAAACATTTGCCAGCTTTTTATTTGAAGATGTCATCTAGATATAAACTGCATGAAGAAACTCTGAATCATTCTTCCCTTGACATTTACACCACCAAAACAATGTACTCTCTCATTTTAGCAGCATCTAAGATAAGAAACCGGGAGTGTTTCCAATCTACCACAGCTGTCGTGCTTGTGCGAGCAGGGTTATTGGATGTATTGAGGTCACTTCCTCTGAGAGCAGTGTGGGCACTGAAGCGATGCTTTAGTCGGTGGCCTGGACCGTGTAGCCGAGGGTAAAATGGACTCGCCAGTCAGGAGCACAGCGGTGGAGTGTCTCCCCGACGTCCCAGGGGTCGGAGCAAACGATTACTCTGTGTGTAGCCTCGTTGCAGAAGCGGCGACAGAGTTTGTTCTGCTCCGTGTGCTTTAGGAATCAGCCTTGCTGCAGAGACAAAACTATACTCCCTGCCCTTCAAGACATCTACACCAGGCAGTGTCTGGTCAGGGCTCTCAGGGTCCCCAGGGACTCCGGTCGCCCCAGTAATAAACTGTTCTAGCTGCTGAAGTCAGACAGGCGACTCTGCAGCATCAAAGACTCTGTAAGAGCTTCTGTCCGCACACAATCAGACTGTTAAACAGAAAAGGGTACATGTTCCTCTCTCCATCTATTACAGTTCACGCAGGGATATCACTCTGTCTGACAGTTAGATACATGTTACAGTATATTACTTCTATTATTGCTTCCACATTTCTGGTTGTATAGTTTGTTATTTCTTATAGCTTTTTAGAGTTAGCCCAGGCTATCAGGGACAAAACATTTCACTGCACCTGTACTATGTTGCATGTTGCATGTAACAAAAAAGGTCCTGAATCTTGAATCCATGGCCCACCAGCAGACATCAAAATCGAAATGACAGCAATACACGTCAGTTGTCAGAGAGTATTTTCCCTGGCTGTGCATAGATCTCAGAAGTTTCTGTTGTTAAGCTATAGCCCACTTAACCTCCAGTGAACTCCGGTTTACTGGAGCATGACCACATGCTGCGCCTCGCTGCAGGCCTCACTTGGCTTTTACTCTGGACTTTCCACTTCTCCAGAACCACATCCTGCCACAGTCCACTCCGCCTGAGGAACACTGACAGTGTTGTTTAAAGGACCACTATACCAGTGATTCTACATGTTTTAAACTATTTTTAAACACATGACGACTCACCATTTCAGAGTTTCAGATATTTTCTTTTCTTCTTTCCAGGCAGCCTTATGAAACATGACAAAAATTCAAATCCATTAAACACTTTATATCTGGTGTCTTGTCACAATTTTCCGAGGTTGGTGGTGTGTTGTGGTGCAGATGTCGAATCTACAGTTAGCCCAGATATTTTTCTTGCATTCTGATGACAAGGTCACCCCAATTAAAAGTTGTGAAGCAACATGTTAGTGGTGACGAACAAGATGTTTTGAAAAAATGTTTAAGTGTTTAAAATGGAGTGGCCTTGTGAAAGTTACTTTTTGTATATAAATGAACAGCAACAAATTTCTTATGAGGAAGAAAAAAAAAGACCTGCTGTCACTTTCCCTGTCAAGGCATTGTAATTTAATTCAGCCTGTGTATCTGAGCTGTGTTTCCTCAGATCCACCTGATTCAGCTCCAGTCAGCAGAGGAGATCAGGTCCTCTCCACAACACTGTGCATCCTCCCCCAGGCTCCTGTACTCTAGTTACATAAAACTCATTTCGCTCCCAGCTGCTCTACATTAATAGCACTGTACATCAGAGACAACAGACTTGGCTAACTTTACTCCACGTCAGCCAAATATTTGTTCATATATTACAATATTCTTTCTCACTTATATTTACTCCCTTAAAAAAAAAACAAAAAAACACTGTCTCTTGAGAATAGGCTTGTCAGATGGAAGAGATAATATTTTCACATCACAAGATCTTTGGTTAGCTGCTGTTGTTTATCACTGCCGGGTAGACTTTTCTCCTGACACTCCTGGTTTGTCTTGTCAGTCTGACTGATGTAGTTGATGTAAACACATTTCCCTCTATGATAAGGCACTATGTTTAATCTCATACGTCTTAAATCTATCTTGTATTGTATATTTCATTAAAGTAGGGAGGATGCTCCATTTGATTCAAGAAAATATAATTTGTTTAAAGAAATAAAATGAAACATTTGCACACCAAAACTACAGTTTCTAACTTGATTCAAGAAACATTTTACAAACATAAGCTCATGCTAAAATATGATCAAATGTAGCAACCACATGATTAATTTAAATTAAATTTCCCAACCATTATTCCATGAAGAAATACTCTGTTTTCAAATGAAGTGTAAATTTTGTCCAATGCAAATGCATTGTTGTTTTCTTACATCAACAGAAAAGAGGGAAAATTTGACATTTCTGTGTTGATGTGTGTGTGTTTTCTTTCATATATTGGCACATGTGGGTAAGCGAGACGTATGTGTGTGAGGGTGTGAGCACTTTTCTTGGCAGATGTGTGCTCTGTGTGGCAGCTGAAGTAGCTGTCAGAACAACTTGACTTACGCTGCCTTGTGTCACTTTGTGTGGGCTGGTAATTTACTACAAATGATATTGCATTCTCTCTGTTGACAGTCTGCCAACGCTGTCGACTGGCAAAGCCAGCAAAGTTGTTTGTCAGCTTTCTGTCCCTTCAAATCCCCAAACGCTCACTGTCTTCGTATAGTCACGGCCGCACCCTGCAGCTTTGAAGGTCAAGGGCACGACAGCAGACCCACCTGCTAAATCTTTAATAAGTCAAAGAGTCAGCCCCATCCGGAGTTCAGCAGTTCATTGCAGAGCAGCAGGGGAGCCGGCAGTGTTTCAGGAGGATCCTCTGAAATGCTCTGCAGCCAGTTATTCCCCTATTTTCTTTTGCAAAAATGACACCTTCTGACAGCCCAGCTGTTGTGCCGATTTCATGCCCACAGGA